GGCAGGAGTTCCCTGTTTCGGAGTAGAGGGTCTTTATGAAGAGCTCCTATTTGTCACTTTCTTTGGATTTAGGAAATGAACAACAGTGAAGTCCTTGAGAGGGATAGGAAAGCGTCCCTGAGACCTTTCTAGATTCTTCTCTGGGAATCCCGACAGAAAGAGGAGAAAAGTGAAGGGAAGGTATATTAGTTTGCTCAGGCTGCCATAGCACAGTACTGTAGACCAAGGAGGTTAAACAATAATATAAACTTATTGTCTCACAGTCATGGAGGTTAGAAGTTTGAGATCAATCTGTCAACAGGCTTAATTCCTTCTCAGGGGCTCTCTCTTTGTTTTATAGATGGCTGCATCTTCTGCGTCTTCACATGGTCTTGCATATGTGCATTTCTGTGTCCTATTTCTTCTTGTAATGTCATCATTCATACTGGATTAGAACCCATGATGATGACCTCATAATAACTTAACTACTTCTTTGAAGACCTTGTCTCCAAATACCGTCACATTCTGAAGTCCTGGAGATTGGCACTTCAAAATATGCATTTTTGGGGGAAGGGAACACAATTTAGCCCATAAAACAAGGCAGTTGGCATTCTACCAAATTCAATTTCAGTTTTATTAACTACCGATGGACCCTGATTGCCTTGTCAAGGTCCTTATCTTTCAGAATGGATTCAGGCCAATGGGAATTTCTTTTCGCGTGGAGAGGGTGGAGTTACGCATCAGGAAAGTCTAAATGAACTTAACCGTGACTTGGAGAGTTGAAATGATCATCACATTTAAAGCTTAATACTCAGCTTGTATGCCTCATATACTTCCAGACAGATGCACTGAGAAGGGAGGGAAAAAGACCTGAGCACATTCTAGTTCTTGGGGTTCCTGATTAGGTTAATTTGAGGTCCTTTGTGTTAATAACCTACAACCCATGGAAATGTTTCTTGTTTTAGAGGCAATGGGTTATTTACCTTTATATCAAAAAGAGTAATCTTAGCAGTGTTCATTTTGTCTTTGTCTTAAAGTAAACTCTTTTTGTAGAAGTCAGTCTTTAAAAAGACATACTTTGTACATTAATGTAAAAAGACATTAAGCCTGGAACTCCGAGCTTAATTCTCTATAATTTTCTAAAGCAGCTTTTGTTGTTTAAATGACATGTTCCCAGCTAAGTGAACACACAGGCAGTGAATGAACTTCAACTCAGCCAAGTGCTAGCATCTGGGATGACAGCAGATCTCCCAGCTGAGAAGTTTTTGCGGAACAAAGTGGCCTAAATCCTTTATGGCTCTTGATTTCGCCTGCAGTTCCTTTGTCAGTGTGCAAAAATGGTTGTTTTTCATTGACTTCCTGTGGACATCTTTTGATGACTCCCACTGGACCACTTTTGTGAATTCAGGTGTGTGCTGGCGTCCCTACTCACGCCATCTGTTCTTCTGTACACTTTGAAGTCAAAAACCAGAGTGCAGTGGAGCCTTTCTCTTTCTCTTTCAACTACTGAATTTTCTTGCTGGGGAGCTATGTTCATGTGAGGCCCCACATTTCCACATGGAAGGCGGTTACCATATTTATATGCCTTAGCAATGAAAGCTTTTGGATACGCAGCAGTTAAGGGAAGAGGTGCCTTTCTATTTGATTTTGTTAGGATATTTTATCTGCAGGGATAGAAACCTGTGCTTCATGGTACTCCAGTTTCTGACTTCTTGACATGAGCTGTTTTGGTAGAACCTCATTATCCCTGGGTCGGGGGTCAAGATTGACACATAGTAAGCTTTGGGCAATGTGATATTAAGAGTTACAGTGTATGCTGGCCACATTGTAGGAGACAGTCTAATCTGTCTCCTGCTTTTTATATGAAGAACATTAATTAAGATTGTGTGGAGAGATTTATCAAACCCTTAGGGAAGAAAAACTATTTAATGATTTCTATTTTCTTGCTGCTGCTATGTATTCTGAGACTAGGATTTGTGTAATTAATTGGTTTCTTGTAGAGTAGCTCCTCTGTATCTTCTACGTTCACTGTTTTGAAGATAAAGTTAATATTTAAAAATTTAGGCTTTTCACATTATAAATGCTTGATAATGATATGGTCAATTAATTATGTAGAATGGATTCTAGTATAACTAAAAAGTGGTATATACTTGATGAAATATTATTCAGCCATAAAAAGGAATGAAATTCTGACACATGCTACAAAACAGATGCGACTTGAAAACATTTTAAAGTGGAGTAAGTCGGATAGAAAAAGGACAGGTGTTGTTACATGAAGTAACCAACACAGGCGAACCCAAAGAGACAGGCAGTAGAATAGAGGCTACCGTTCTACTTAGTATGTTATGGGTGCAGAGTTTCTATATGGGGTGAAGAATCAGTTCTGGAAATGGATAATGGCAGTAGTTATGCAACACTGTAAATATACTGAATTGCTCAGTTTAAAATGGTCACAACTGTAAACTTTTTTATGTAGCATACTTGACCATGATAAAAAAAATTTAAAAATTAATTCCAATGCAGGAAGGGCACATGAGACTTACACAAGTGCAAAAACATAAAAGTTAAGCTTTTAGCCTTTAGATGTAGATTTCCTGAGTTTATAAACCTGCGTATTGGCAATTTTTCTGTGGGTCTGCTCATAATCAGCAGTGGAGAAAACCTTTACACCAGGCTCTTGTCAGGACTACAGCCAGTTCCCACCCAGCTTTTTGTCGGGAGAAATAATGCTAGTGGTGGGAAATACCTCAGAAGATATGGAGTACATTCATTCTTCCAGAAATAGTCACTTTAGTTGCTTGATGAAGCCAAGCAACTAGATTAGTTACTTGCTGTGCACTCCGGTGCTTGTTTTCTTCTTTATCCCCTAGCTAAATCACTTTAGCGAATTGTGCTGTGGCTTCATATCTCACCCGAGAGATGTAGAAAGAGAGCATACTGTATATACGCAGAGGTACTGACAATCCAGTACTTCCTTTCCCTTCCCCCAAACATGGATGAGAAAGGATACTAAACACATTTGCTCAAGGAGAGGAAGGTTGTACCTTGGGAGACATTTCTTTTTAAGTTATTTTATTAGCATATAATAGTTGACCAGAGGGATACGTTGTGATATTTACAGATGTGCTTGCAATGTATCTTAGTTCGATTTACCCCCTCCATTGTTCTTTGAACAATTCCAACAGGTTTCATTCTTCTGTCTTCATATATGGATACAAAATACATCCACCATATTCACTCTCATTCCCCCTTTCCTCGTACCACCTTCCATTGGTACCCACCCCTGGAAAAAACCAATTTTTCTCTATTGCCCTTCATTTTTTTAAAAGTGCATATTGGTAGTCCAAGAGGATTTCACCCTGGGACTTCAGGCCTGTATATACTATACTTCAATCAAATTAACTCCCCCCACCGCACTGTTAGTTACTCATTCTCTATTACCATGCTCCCCTAATACTCAACAACTTACAGTACAGTGCATTATACTAGATGGGTTGTTTCAAAATTTTTCATTCTCTAACATTTTCTTTACCAGTAGACATTTCTTAATGACAAGAAAAAACTAACACTCGTGAGAAGTGTGTCTACTATATTTAATCTTAGATTCAATGTGACCCATTGTGTCTGTTTTCTTTTTTTTGGTCACTAGAATGCGCAGAGCCTAATTTATCAATCACATCAGGAAATTGTTTAACACTTTACAACAGACATTTCTGTCAGCTAACTTTTCCTCATGCTCTTCTAGCCTCTTTTTAATGTTTTCTTTACATGTTATATATATTTGGTCAGTTAACTTATCCTTAAAAAAATTAGGTGGTGTTTTAATCAGGGTTCTGCAGAAAACCTGATGGTGTATATGGTATGTGGGTATGAGTGAGGTGTGTGTGTGTGTGAGAGGGAGAGAGAGAGAGATAGCGAGAGAGAGAGATTATTTAGGGATGGTGGAATGGCTCAAGTGTTAGAACACCTGCCTAGCAAACATGAGGCCCTGAATTAATGTATCAGAACCACCGAAATCAATCAATCAATCAATAATAAAAGAGAGATTTATTTTGAGGAATTGGCTCAAAAGATTATAGGGCCTGACCAATGTGAATTTTGCATGACTAGCCAGTAGGCTGGAGATCTGGGGACGAGCTATTATCAGTGTGTTGAGTCCAGCAGTAATGTAGAGATAGAATTCCCTCTTGAGGAACCTTCGTCTTTCCTCTTAGAACCTCAGTTGATTGAGTGAGTTCCACCCACATTATGAAAGGTGATCTGCTTTACTCAAAGTCTGCTGATTTAAATGTTAATCACATCTAAAAAAATACCTTCATAGAAACATCTGGACAGGTATTTGACCAAACAACTGGGCACCATAGCCTAGCTAAGTTGTCACATAAACTGTCACACCACAGTTACAGGGACACCTGTAATAAAATTTTCTTTAAATTGGCGCAGTTGTTGTCTTTTGTTTTGCTTATTTGAGTGCATATGGGGGAGATTCCAGTACCTTCCCTCCTCCTCATCTAGATTCAAGCCTCATGCTGTCATTACTTCATAAGCTGGTAGGGCTGTCTTCCAAACCATGGTTGGTTAAACAGCATAGAGTCTTCATTGTGGATGTGTTGAGTGTGTGAATGTGTGAAGGCTATGGCCTGCTAGAAGTCAGTGTTACAGGGAGTTCTGCCAGCCCTTTGTTAAACAGCCACTTTTGTGGAGGGATGTGATGAGGTGTGTGATTTCACCAATTACTACCATTCCTAATTAAACAGGGCCCAGGTGTGTGTTAGTAAAACCTTATAGCTCACTTTCTGTTACACTAACAGCTCTACCTTGACCTGATTCTAGAGATTTCATGCATTCAATTGTTCAGTTGATTATGTTGTTGCTGTTCTATTCTGTAAGGACTTCAAACATCTGGAGACCTGCATTTTGTTGGAAAACATTGCAGTTGTTCAGAAATACTGCACAGCAGCAGCTCTTACCTTGTCTTCTTTCTTTGGTAGGTACTGTTCCAGAGTTAAGCCTGATGACCATGCTGTCTTGCTTAAGGTAAGAATTGCAGCTCTTGCAAATAACCCTCAATGGGTTAGGTTGTTGGGATCCACGTACACTTGTGAACACCTTGGAACTGTTTTTTTCCCGTTTCCTCAGCAGTTTGTCATTTTTCCATCCTATCCATTGTGGTCCTGGGATTTGGAAGCCTGATTTGGGCTTGTTACATTTTTGGTGAACCTAAGGAAGGAGTGTCCAAATCAAGGAATGGTTAGTGGATCAAAGACTTCACTCTTACCATAGAAGACACTTATTTGGTCAATTTAAAGGAAACCATCCAGAGTAATCTTCTCAGGGTCTGGGGTAGGGGTGGAAAGCTATATCCAAAACTATCCCTATTAAGTGACTATGTCACTTAGTACATATGGACACTAACTATTGAATGTTTGTAGTTATCAGACATTTAAATGTTAGTGCTTAAAAAATATTTACTGATCCAGGGCCTACAGGCATGGCTTAAAGAGTAGAGAACCTGCTCTGGCAAGCATGAGGTCCTGAGTTCAAACCCCAGTATTGCCAGAAAAAAAAAGTAGTAAGTTGTAAAATTATTTTTTTAAAAAGCAAATATTTACTGATCCTAAACAAGATGAGAGTATTAACCCAACAAAGACAACAACATAGATGTGGGCACATTTAAAGTTGTGGGTTTTATTGATGATGGCTTTTTACTTCATTCATTTTACCTTTTAGCTTTAGGTGTGGTGCTTAGCACAGAGGCTGCCCAGGTTAGGTTGTTAGGTGTGTCAATTTTCTAAGGTAAAGAAATTAAAGCAGAGGTCTGGTTTGCCAAGATCAGGATGCAAATGCCAAGGAATGCTTTTATGAGGCCTGCAGCACTGACCCTGGTCTGCTGAGTAATCTGCTCCCTGGCTATAAGGGCTGTAGTCCCAGCCTGGAGGCCTCTGCCTTGCAAGCAGACCTCCCACCTTGCGTCCGAAGGGTGGCAGGGAAGGAGTGAGCACCCAGAGGAAACAGTCTGAGATTATGAGCTGACTGGGGCATGGCCATGTTTACATTCCTTTTTTCTTGTTGAAAGAGCAGGTTGAATTAATAGTGCCAGTGTTTGTTAATGATAATTATATGTTTCAAGTACAAAGCAGAATTCTATAAAATAGCTACAAGTATGCCTTACTCTTTGCCTTTCTAAATGGATGACATTGTACTACCCTAATTAGGCCCATGAAAACAAGTAGGAATCTGTATATTATCATCACTGCTCTCCCCAGGGCATATTGGGTGGTGTGGGAGCTGTTACTTCAATGTACAAGTCTGCTATTAATAATTCCAAAGAATGTGAAAGTCAGATGGGTGACAGTTCAGCCATAAACATATGAAGAGTAGGGGAGTTATCTTCCAAGGCAAGGAAATTTAATTCTTTTTAGTAACAGCATTAACCACAGTATTGGGAACATAATAATCATAGTGATAATGATAGCAACGATTACGAATGAGTGACAGCTCTAATGTTAACCATCCCTGACACTGCCATCACCATCACTAACGTTTATTGACTTCTACTTTCTTCCCATCACCAGACTAAGATTTATTTACAGGTATTATCTCTCTGAATCTGCATGATATTCCTGGGGTGGGGGGGTATCTATTATTAGCTACATTTTACCGTTGAGTAAACTGAAAGTTAAAGAGATTAGGTGAGTTGCCCAAAGTTAGATAACCAAGCCAAAATTAACCCACAGAACAGCCCAAAACAGGGTCCAGTCCACATGAAGATACTGATGGCTGGTGCTTACTGACTTCCACACTTACCTGCCCATCACTTCTTTTCCTTCTAACCACCACTTAACATTGACATTTTATTTCTTCTGCAGCGAGGAAGCCAGAATATAAAAAATACACAAGAAGTTCTTCACTCATTTTGAACAGTAGAAAACCAAAGGTGTTTGGGGCTCCTTGCATTTTTTGGCACCACAGATCTGGACCATAAGGATTCTGTTGTTAGTTCTGAGTTCCCTTGATCCTCACCTGGTGATACTAGCCTTGATTTGGTTTGCTCATACCCTGAAAATGTCTATCTACATCACTGCATTATATCTAAAATCCATGGAACAAAACAGCTTCCAGTGAGACCAAATCTTTCTGGCCCTATGTTCTATCATACACTAAAAGGAAAAAGGAAAAAAATCCTGCATTTCTACTGGATTCCTTTGCAAAGATTCACCTAGGTGCAGAAAGCCTTCCCCCTCTTCCTACGTGTGATCATTAACTGATCTTAGCTTTTCCCAAGTTGATGTGCTGACTTCAGTGCCCTTACTGGTCCAGGTGGGAGGAATGAGAACTTAGAAGCTCTGTATGGTGGTTGGCAAACCTGCTGGCAATAGTCAAGTGGTGGTTTCACATGGGTGCTTAGTGTTAGAAATGCTATTGATGATAAAGCCTCATTTGTACAGGGCTGTCTACCATCTCTCTATTATATAACAAACCACGCCATACTTGTGGCTTAAAAAAACAACTGTTTTGTTTGCTTGTGACTCTATAGGTCAGCAATTTGGGCTAGACCCAGCTGGGTGGTCCTTTAGCTAGTCTCACCTGGGGTCACTCATAACTGTGCCCTTGGCAGGGTGTGATGGGGGAAGACTCTGTCACATGGCCTCATCCTCCAGCAGGCTAGCTTTGAATTCTTCAAATGATGAAACTGTCAAAAGAACAAAAGAAGAAGGTGCCGTGTTGAAGCCTGGACTCAGAAATCACCCAGGTCCACTTCTGCCTTCGATTGGTTAAAGGAGATTCAAGGCAGGTGGGTTGGAAAAGGATTCTACCTCTTAAGGGCACTAGCTATAAATAATTAGTGGATATTTAAAAAAAATTATCACAGGCTCTTAACATTACATGAAAGCAATCCAAAATTATTTTGAAAGCATTTTGTTTTATCTTTAAATAATCCTGGAGTAGGGATAGTCATAGCCAGTGAATAGAGAATCCTGGAAAACAGAAGTCTTTAGTATCAGACCCAATAATATTATGGTAATGATAATAACGATGACAGCCAAAAGTAATATTCTTCTTACTGTATGCCAAGCACTGTTCAAAGTCCTTCTTTATATGTCATAACTTATTTAGCCTTTACAAAATCTTATGAACCACTATTATTTTATCCCCATTTTAAAGGTGTGAAAATTGAGGCACAGATTGGTTAAGTAACTTCCCTTGGTTATACACCTATTAAGTGGCAGAACTGAGATTCCTCTCAAGGAGGCCAGGCTCCTGAGTTTGGGCACTAACTCAAGTGCCTCTCAAGTTGATGGAAACTAAATCTCACTGGCTATGACTAGCAAAGCTCTCTCTGGAATCATTGTAGTTTTGCTAGAGACAATAGGATTGGCTATTTGGTGAGGGTCCACTAGGCCTTTCTGGGTACACTCTTGTGACCCAAAATGGGGCTGGTCATATTACAGGAGACCCTGACTGGAGAGCAAGAAGAATTCGTGATTCTGTGAAACAGTGATTCTACTGGGCCTAACAGCATCTCATAGCATATGGGTGATGGTCTCAGGAAATCATTCTTTTCTTTTGCCTTGCAGGTAAACTCTTGTTTTTTGGCCTCAGTTAATCAGAAAGACTCAGTCTCAAGGAGATGAATGTTGTGTTTGTTTAGTTTTTAGTTTTAGGACTTTCCCAGGGAAAGGATAGGTTGGCAGCCCTTTTTATATAGTATTTGTGGAACAAAATTTGGCCTGATGTCCAGGTAATACAGATGGTTTGTTTGAGGAAAATGACTAATCTCACTGACATTTCTGAAGTTGTCCTTGTAGCCATGGATGAAGTGGTTCATAGTTCCCATATCTTGGTAGCCCAATCCTCAGCCTGAGGGATGTGGAACACATTTGGAATCACGATTAGACTTTGCTTCAGAAGGGTCATTGCTCACTTTGCATTTAGCACTAGAGTTGGGGAGAGAGCGCTAGTATAAGACTCAACTGAAGTCACTCAACCCACCTAGCTGCTTCTCTTCCTCAATCCCACTGTGGTCTCTGTCCTGATTCTTCACCTAACCTCCTTTTGATGTCTTTATCCTCCTCTGTTGACTCAGGTTGGCATCAGTTACTGATCCCTTGTTGCCAGGGGGTATTTGCTATAACTTCTGCATACATGAGAATGCATATGTCACCCTCATTTCCTCTTGAGCTAGAATGACTGAAAGGTAGGTGAATGGACATGCGCAGCCCAAGCAGAGACAAGAGAACATGGGGCCAAGGCTAGGAGAGTCATGCTGCTGGCAGCCCCGCCCCTTCCATCATCTCTCACCCTCCCTCCCACAAACTGCTCTGAAGGGCAGATTTCTTGATTGTCAAGCATGAAATCCTAGGGATATTTTCCTCATACCAGTGAAAACTCTTGTTAATCTCTTGTAATCTTTTCCTTCAGCTAATCTTGAAGAGGGTACAGTCCTCTCCTGCATTAAGTACTTCTTCCTTGTAGATGCGTGCTTCCTTTTTATTTTTTTCTTTTCAAACCACCTGGAACAGTACATTCTCTAGTGTAGAAATTGAAACCTGACAGGCTGGTCTCTAGAGCAGAGATTAGGCTGCTCTTTTTCCAAACAGTGCGTTATGGTTGAGTGTTGCAGCTGAATGGTTCAGCCTGCCTTTAGGACAGACCACAGGCAGGAAGCGTCTTCTGTTTCAGCCTTTGGGGCTGTTCTTTCCCTGCCATAAACTTAATTGCTTCCTGTGATGTATCTGACATGCCCACTAGTATTCCTTTGGCTCAGCCTTGTGTGGTCAGCCAGAACTACCAAAGCTTGAGCTCTGCTTTTCATCAGGCATAGATTCACACGAGTTTGCCATTGGCTTTTGCTAACGTTGTCTATTCTGGTGGAGAGGTTCCTGTTCAGTAATATGAATGACATAAATGTGCACTGAACGTGGAGCATGGAGTAGGATGTGCAATGCACATGTACGTGTGTGTGGTAGGGGGATGTAGGTGAGACACAGCTGAGTCTTCCTGGACTCTGGGTGAGCAGGCATGATTTAGTGGGCTTAGAAAATTGTGGTTTACCAGTGTCCTCACATGCATGAAAAAGTCCTGTGTGTCCTGAGGGGAGGTTTTACTAATCTAATTACCATGGAAAATGTTCCAGGCATGGCATCTCCTTGACTTTACTGCAGTTTGACTTACCCTAGTATTGTTGTGTTTAATTGTCCCTCTTTCTTGTTGGTTTTACAGTCAATGTTGTAGGAAAACAATACTTGAGAGTTTAGGGAGCGCCCCCTCCCCCTTTTCCTTACAGAGAAGATGATTGCTCAATAATAAACAGAAAAGGAGTTAACAAAATGAAACTTTGCTCAAGGCTGGCTCTTGGCAAGGAAGACTGAGCTGGGGAACGGCTTTGAGTGACTAGAATGCAAATTTGCACATGTGTACATTATCTGTCAGGTTCTGACCTACAGTCACAGCCACTGTAGTAACTTTCTTATCATCCTCGGTGGCTCTTTCTTTAAAAGTTGTTATCAACAATCTAACCAAGGCACAGCATTCCAAATTTAACCTTAAGCTGTGCTTGAAATTTTATCCTCAGGAAATCTTTCTAGAATAGAGATGAAACCTTCATTTGTGGCTAACCATAACAAGTTCATGCACCAATTTGCTTTTTCTCAACATGGTCACGCTCCATATTTAAGCTATGAACACTGAGTTCTGTCTAATTATTAGCACAGTCCCCTCCCTGCCCCATTCCCTAAATGTGGGTCTTTGCTAGGTTAACAAGGGTAAAGGTTTTTACTCCAGGATAGCAGATCTGTGTGACTGCCCAACATGGTGCCTCTGCATGGATGAAGAATGAAGTGTTTGGATGACCAGGTGACCTGCAGCATGACACCAGTAATAGAGTCCTAGCTTCTCTTTTGCATTGAACTCCAGGTATGCTTTGATCAGGTATGTGGTCAAACCTTTTCCCCTTAGGCTTAGATTCCCTAGGAATTCTAGCAATGTACCCAAACAGATTACCAAAAGCACACATGGTACAAGCCTCTTTAATTATTACTTGACACAACTCTAATGTGAGCCAGTCATGTAGACAGTTACTTGCCATCTATTAAATCGGTGTATTTTCTATAATTTAGGAGTACTTTATCTGTAATTAAACAGTAGTTTAATATATCTCTCCCCAAAGAATAACTTCTAATTCTAAAAATTCTAATATGAAATTAGAATAATGCCAAATGGAAAGTAGTGGAGGGATGCAATGAATTGGGAAATGGGAATCCCTAACACATTTATTGGCCTGTCTAAGATTGGCTATGACTCTGTAAGGAATAAGGTCCCAGTTGCCAAGTTATAAAACTGGATCATCATGTTCAAGATGTTTATTTTCCCCTGTCAACATGTTTGCTTACCCTGTTTCAATAAGATCCTGTATTAATTTTATTCAAAGGATTTCTGGAATGACCGAGAGCAGAGAACCAGAGTGCGTTCCCCTAGGGTTTCTCTCCACCTCAGCTACAAATGTCTTCTCTGCTGTTTCTCACCTATCTCTAGTCCATCTCTGTTATCAACAGGGACCTAACGGATAGTTCTATGATCACTTTCTTTGAACTGTGAACTGAAATGCAGTCCTTCAATACAGGGTTTTAAGATGTTAGCACATTGATTTTTTTTGTGCTGTTCTTGGCTGGCTTGAGAAACCTGTCCCATCAGGTAGAGAACAACTCTTCTTATCCTAACTGGTGACTTCAAGAGAACATTACTCATTATTATTGGTCCTCATGAGTCATCTGGGCCATGCATACTGTTTTTTCACTGAATAAGAATCTTCAGGCAATGCAATGGGAGTTTAGGGTGAAGATTCCTGTTTACTAATATGAATTATATAAATGTGACTCAGGCATAGAGCTACATTTCATTGGTCCAGGTCTTCATCCATATGTCTGAGAAATTGTATTGGTGAATGTTGTCAGAAACAACCGTCTTAATGATCATGATTGTGTGAGTGACCAGACTCTCCAGCCTGCCCAGGGTTGGTCTTAAGGAGAAAGACACAGTTATGAACTGTTGCCTGAGCCTGCTTAACACTGCTGCATGCTGTCCACTGAAAAGTCAGTGGGGATCTGGTAAACACCTCTGAGGCCCTGTGCTTGTGATAATGCTGCAAGGGCTTTGTACTTACATGTGCCATCATAGCTGAGTTCTACTGAGAGGCAGCAGGAGTCGTTTCCACTTTGCTGCTCTCTGTGCTATTCTTAGGTCCTATTGTGCGTGATTTAGATGACAAATAAGATACTAAATTGTCCTGTATCAAGTTTGGATGTCTGCCTAGTTCCAGAGAGCAATACTGATTGGCATGTGTATTCAGTTCATTCTGAAATTCAGTTCATTTGAGAATTCTTAATATTTATATTAATTATAGATTAGAGAAACTTAGCTTTGAGCAGAAGCTATATTTGAGACTTGGTTGCGCCATTGTTTGCAGGAAAGCCTGACATATAGAAAATATCTAAGGCAGATGCTGGATGCAATTTTGTGGGTTAGTAGAAAATCCTGCCTCTTCTGCAAATTCTTAACTAATCCTTCCTGGGTTTAAATAAAATCAACAGTTGCTAGTATGACAGCTACTCTGTCACCCTTCTCTATCTTCAGGCACTTGAAATACATCATTAACCAACATCAGAATTAATCCAGGGCCCTTTACACTGTAGACTGAGTTCCTTGGGACAAGAACTTTATCTTCTTCTTTCATTCCTACAACTAAGAATAATAAATGTTTTATAAATAGGTACACATGAAATAATGAGTAGCTATGAAAATAAAACAAATGGTGGTCCAGAAGCTCTGGTGATTTGTCGGCATGTCTCGTAGGGTCAGAGTTAGATGGAGGCCCGGTCACCATGGGGAGCAGCTGCCCTGAGGTTTTTGGGTAGGGCCGGCATGGGAGGCAATAATGTGCCCTGCAGCGGATTGATTTTTAGGCTGTCCATTGTTCCTCTGTTGAAGTAGGAAGGCTCAGCCCAGACAAATGCTAAGGCAACAAAACCAACTCTTTTATTAGTTTCTACAACATTTATAGCCAAGTCCTGTTCGATGCCCTTACCCTTGAGGCATTCCAACAGTCATTTTAATGATTTATTTTCTTTTTCACAACCAAAAAACAAATAAAATATTTTATCACCTTTTGGGTAGACTTGGTCTCTTTCTCTTCATTTCATCACTTTCTGGGTCTATAAAATTCCCCTTACCTTTCAGTTTTTGTAACTCATGGGTAGAAATTCTGTTTGTCTCATTCCTTATGTAAGGACTTTCTTTTAAGTCTGATTTTTTTTTGAGGGGGGGGAGGGTTTGGTCCTATATCCTTAGTTGTTTATTTGGGGTCTTTTTTGTGGGGGGGAGTGGAAAGAAAAAGTCAAGAAAGACCACATGTTTGTATTAACACATGGATGGCAGGAAAAGATTTTGAATAAGAAAAAAAATTTTTTCAACACTATTCTCCACTGTTTAGAGATATAAGAATTTTATTTTCTTATTTATGGACCTGAAGAAGTAATTGTGTTGTTTAAGAGGAAAGCAGTCTACTACCAAAATTTGCTCTGTGGTTTCTTTCCCGGGATCTACAATAAAAACCAATGATCTACGCCAGAGCCCGTGGCATGGTGACCGGCCCTACCCATTCTGAACTATGCTTCTGCAATCCAAGCTCCCTGCTCATGGTTTCTATCCTTTGCACTTTTGGCTCATTTCTACTTCATTCTCCATATGCCTCCTCATATAAAGGTGTCAACAGCAGGATCCTCCCTCAGACCCATCATCATGAGCCCCAAAAGCCACTTGATGCCTGTGCGGATTCGCAAATGCAAAGCACTTTTCCGATGGTTGATCTCAAGGCTGTGCGGATGCAGCCTGTGACTGTGTCAGGTGAAGTGGTCCAGTCTGGGGTCTGCTTCCGTAGGCCTCCTAATCAGATCTGCATTAGCATCCCAAAGGTGAGCAGACTCATCTCATGGTAATGGTGTGGGATTCCTAGGCAGCTGGTAAATGTTATTCTGGGGATGTCTGTAGGGGTGTTTCAGAATTAGTGGATGGTCCTTCACCCCAGGTGATCATCATCTAGTTCATTGCGGGGCTAGAGCTAGCAGGCAGTGGATTCTCCCTCCCTCTGTTTGCGGAAGGTGAGGCATCATGCTCTGCCTCTGGGTTCCTGGATCTCAGGGAGTTAAGAATCAAATTAGAATCTATACCATCCACTCTGGATCTCAGGGAGTTAAGAATCAAATTAGAATCTATACCATCCACTCTGGATCTCAGGGAGTTAAGAATCAAATTAGAATCTATACCATACACTCTGGATCTCAGGGAGTTAAGAATCAAATTAGAATCTATACCATACACTCTGGATCTCAGGGAGTTAAGAATCAAATTAGAATCTATACCATCCACTCTGGATCTTCAGGCCTTGGAACTGCACGAGTTTTTGGGTCTGTAGCTTACAGATGACTGATCATGGACGTCTTGGCTTCCATACTGCATGAGCCAGTATTTTATAATAGATTTCTTTATATGTATAAACTCTCTCTCTTTATCTGTGTGTATTGTTGGTTCTTTTTTTTTTTTAAAGAACCCTGGCTAATACACTTGTGAAAAAGAATTTTGCTTGATCCAGCTGTTGTAGTCTCAAGATGAGGCTCATTTGTGCATTAGTTTCTTTCAGCAGCAACACTATTACTGTATTTGAAAACAGACATGGTGTTTTAAAGTTACTTACAAAATTCATGTAAACAATTCTTAGCTAGGCACAGAATAACCCTCGTACTGATTATTTGAACTCAAATGCATAACTTTTTATTTAACAGTGCTGACTTCCGCTTGGTGCTTTGGTCTATCAGGTTTTCCTTTACATCTGGATTCTGTTTTGAAACATAGTAGTTGCCTTTCCTGGCTTGTGCCATCATTAGATTGATAAGTCTTCTTATCTTCATTCAAGTGCTTGATAAAAATGGTAAACAATAAATAACGACAGAGTTCTATAGCATACTACTACATATTTAGTGTTGAGGATGGTCTGTTAAAGACATTATTGGCAGCTCATGATTTGCCACCATTTCCCCAAGGATAAAAACGTTATGTATTGCCTTGCTAAAATCCAGGTCACATATGAAAAGCATCTTATGTAATCCACTGAAACCATGTCACAATGGAAAGATCATTTGTTAGGCAATACTTTATCTTAGTTTCTCCATCTTAGGCCTGACTAATCTCTTTCCTTTCTATTTGTTCACAAAACAACTGCTTATTAATCTGCACCTTCATTATTAATTCAGAGAGATGTTCATTGGTGAATCTTCAGTGTCTAGTATAGTACTCATCAATACATAAGATATAGTTCCTGCCTGCAAAGAGTTTATAGTCAAGAGAAGGGAAAAGATACATCATTGTAATACTTTGTTGATAATATATACAAATGTGTATTTGTGTTACTTCTATAATAAAGGGAGAGCTTTATAAATGTAATATAGTAGGTTTAATGCCTAGTAAACACATGTCCAAGAGCCTAGACTACCTTATAAGCTAGTGCCTGAAGTCTGGACTCTAGATCTGGCCTTCTGGCTACCATGACCCCCTGAACTCCAGACTTCTGGTTTGCACTTGAATTCTACAGAAAGTAGTGGCTTGGTGACTCTAAAAGACCTTGCAGGCAGCCATATTGAATGCATATCTGACAAACTTTAAGATTAGAGTAGCATTTATAATTAAAATCAGGAATAACTCCACTTAAAATATACCTCCCCCAATATACTTACCTGGTATCACAAGATATCCAACCATCTAGCCTTTGAAATGTCTCATCTGCATTCATGATCCTCAGCTGAATTGTTTGTGAAGCTGTGAAGTGAATCAATTCAGCTGCATTTGCTTCTTATAGAGCATGAGAAATGGTTTTCCAGTTATTAGATGTGCAGAGCTGAGGAAAAAACATACAGTGGGGTTTTTTAGATTGCAAGTGGAAACAGTAGCTTTGGTAGTTAGAGAGATGCCTGCAAAGCATGTTGAGTCCAGTAAATATGATCAGTGTCACACAAAGATAAACCTGGAACTCTTCATTGCTGCTTTTCCTCAAATGCATTTCCAACTGCTCCTCATTTGATAGGGAAATGTTTTTATTTGTGTGTTGTTGGAGCTCTGTTTCTATCTAACATGTATCCAGTTAGCTAAGGTGTCAACTCACGGAGCTGACCAGGATTCTGTTTTTAGTGTCCTGGCAGTAAAGAGAGATGTTTATTCTATTTGGGTTCTGTAGCTAGTCTTCCATCTGGACATTTCCTTCTGTCTCTTATTCCCTACTCTCTTTGTTTCTTTGGAGCCAGGAATGCTGTTTTTGTAAAGAAAATGAATGTAAATTACTAGTGGCAATGAAACAAGTCATGCACTGCTTTTTGGCTTGGAGGACAGACGTTTTGGGAGTCAACAGCAGGATGCTTTGCCGTAGGATCTGCAAGGGATGGGAAGAGATGGCTGCTGCTCTGTGAGCAAATCCCATGCCTGCCGGGCACTTTATTATCCATTCCCTGCAACAAGCAGCTTCAGCAGACGGCTGTGCAGAACCTTTTCATAGGGCTGAATCTGCCACCCTGTAGCAAGAAAGCTGCAACTCATGTCATCTTCTTCTGCTGGACCGTCTCCTTGCTACCAGAGTTTCTTTTCTATTAACTGAAAGTGAAAAACTGTGGAAGGGAACTAACATTTATTGAATACTTACTGTCTGCCAGGCATGGTGAAACACACTTTGTCATTAATTCCTTTAATTCTCATTATAATTTACTTCTGACTGTAGCTCTGAAATTTAAGTATTATTTTCCTGATTTATACACAAGGAAATCAAGACTCTAAGAAGTGGGCTAAATAGTATCTAGCAGCTGGTACTTGATCAGATCTTAAGTTTAGGATCTGACGAGGTATCCAGACTCTAAAGTCCAGAATACATTGAGATATGCATAACTTGCTGTGTTCCACGAGGCTAGAGATATGAGGCTCAGGTTGAGAAGCAGTTAGGCCTCTTGCACAACCTTTGATGTGGATTACATCGTAAAGACAATGGTTCATTGTTCCTTCTACTGCCTTCCAGTAATGTCACAGCTTTAATATTGGTTTTTCATCCCTTAAAAATCTAAGATATTTTAAGGACAACACTTTGTCACCACTGTGATCTAGAGGTCAATGTAAAATTAACTGAAAGTCAATTTTACTCCTCCCGCCTCTGCCATGAGATGGGACAGTGATGCTGAATGTCTGTCCTGTGAGCCCGGGGGAAACAAGAAGAGACGACTGAGGCCTGTGGTACAAGCCCTGCTCACAGGGCAGACACTCATGTTACAAGAACTTGCTTCTTCAGCAACTCCAGATAGGCGGGCAGCTAACTCACCTTGCTTTTGAAATTTTATTTTCTGTTAAACTTAAGAAATGCCTTTACTGCCTTTCTTCTTGATGCAAATACATTGTCAATATGATCTTCTAAGCCTGATGACTAGGTGGGCCTGTGGGTGGTGTGTATTCTTCTCTTTCTCAGCCATGTATGTTCCTGCAGTTAACACTAGCTAAAAGGGGTCTTATCAATAAGTCCATCAAAGACCAGCGAGTCTACACAGAGCATGCTTTCTGCCTTCCCAGATGGGATGAAAGTCAGCCCTTTGGACCTTGGGGGGTACAACTTACTTCTTTTTATTAATTCAAGAATAAAAATCTATATCCATCAGTTCCATTCTTACCTGACTACTACCATAGAGGGAGATTACATATTGTTTCTTCACGAACTTAATTAGTAGTTTTCCAAGTTTGGCAATGAGGAAAGAAACTTCCAGCTGGATACAGTGATGTCAGAATTGTTAACTAGTGGCAAGCAGGAGCAGAAATGCATGCTGGGAGGCCTGCTCTCCTGCCCACAGTGATGCTTAAGTGCTAGTCATTGAAGAAGAATCAAAAAGGAAGTTTGTACATTGAGTTACCTGGTTGACGATCCAAGCGCCTCCTATTCTCCTACACAACTATGGGTCTTTGATGGAAATTAGAAAGCTCTGCAATTATGCAGATGACTTTTAGAGGCAGCATGAGATATTTACCTCTCAAACCAAGTCCATTCATCTCAATAACTCTTAGCAGCTAGCTGGCAGTGCTGATAACTATTGTAAAATCTGGATCTTTCATGTTGGCGAATTACTCATGAAGTATAGAGAGCTGTGTGATTTATTAAGGGGATTTTACATTCCTAACCAGGGCGATTAAAAAGACAGGCTCTACATCTCAGATCAGCACATTTGCCACTGATGTAATTCCTTCTCAGATTTCTAACTGGGATATATTTCTGTTAGCAGTGTAGGTGAGTCCCCAAAAGGTCATTTTATTTGTTATTTTTTAATATAGGAATTCTGGATATCCAGGAGCTAATCAATTTACAAGGAGCTGCTAATTCATATCTTATAGTCTCTGGACACTAAGTCCTTGCAAACTAAGTTACAGTCTACTCCTTGACATCTTCCATCCTATGTTGGTGATGTACCAACCTCCAAGTCTGAAGATCATTCTTGCACTGTGGTTTGTATGTCATCTGTCTCTTCTCCCATTTGTCTAAATTAACTGTAAGAAGCATCACTGGTTAAGGAATTCTTTTAGTTATTAGATAATTCACAAAGTTGGTAGGAAATCTTTCAATCTTAAGCTAAAACATAAATAGCTACATCTTCAGCAAACACTTGCTACAAAATTTTATCACCTTTATTTATTTTTCCTGACAATGAGAAAAGGGAAGGAAATACAGGAACTGGAACATCTTTCTCTTTGCAAACTGGCAAGAATGTGGGTTCTGGTTTGCCTAACTTTTCTCTGGAAGATTTCATCAGTGTTTGCTGTCAAAGAAGAGAAATGTTCTTGCTTTGTCGAAGACGCTTTGTCTGTCTTGATAAACACAGTTAGGGTGACAGTAGGCCCTGGGTGG